ATCTTGCTTACTCAGCCTAGTCAGGTGATCAGGTCATATGACCAAGGATGAGGTCATATGAGGTCATGCACAGCCATGCACAGCAGGTCACCTGACCATCCAATCCTTTCCAGCACATGCCAAGGTATACCAGCTACTTCCATGTCATAAAGGCTTAGTCATGTCTCTTGACCAAGCAATGAGCTGGTGCCCTGACACAGATAGATGTCCCAGCAACACCCCTAGGCCTCCCAAACCTTTCCAATAAATTGTGGAGACTCCTACAAGTGTCATCTTGCATCCCACTACTCCCAGTAGGGGCCTTTAGCACTGCTATGTCTCACCCCAAGTGTCTGGACACAGCAGTCTTGTGGTGTCCTCTGCACAATGTCTTGTATGGCCACTGCCATTGTCCTAAGGCAGTTACCAGCACAGGAAGTTCCAGGGGTTGTTGTTTCATTGCTCCTAGGGTGAAATGGGTGGCCAGGGGTGGTAACAGGCAGTGCCCTGACACCCTTGCAGTCTTTATACAAGAATAGCGGGAATGACTCCTCACTGGTATTGACTTGCTCTTCTTCGCCAGGTTTGTTCTTCCAAATAATAGGCTTGCCTCCTTGCAGGCAAGTCCACACCCTAAGTACTGGCCAGTCAGTGGATGATTGTACCCTCGCTCAAGTTTCTGCCAATGATCTAGTCCCTTTGTAGCCACAGCAGAGCCTTCTACAACTCCCAGGATATCAATAGCTATATCCTTGCAGGTCAAGATGTTGTCAGTGTGGCCAATGGCCTGGCTGCTTTTGATCTGCCCATGGAGTCAGTGATGTGTCAAGTGAACTCTCACCAGACCTACCCGACTTGCAAGCTCAGTCAACATCCCATGCATGTGTGATGCTAGCTCATCCTCGATCTCAGGCATTACCAGGACCATATCACAATATATCCTGACATTTTCTTGTACTCTATGCCCACTGGGCAAACAGTCATTCAGCTCATGGCATCATGACAGAGGCATGCCACTTCATCGATTTCTTCAACATCTTCCACTTCAAACCATTCCCTCTCATCTCTTAGGATTTCCTCCACATTACCAAACAGTGTGAGTGCTCTGCCAACATGTTTCCCACTGCTGCAAAAGGTGCAGCCTTTGATTCTATGAGTGTTAGGTCAGCTGTGTCAGGTGCTTGGGAACAAAAGGGGGGTTACTTGGCATGCTTGGCAGCCACATCCAACTCCTCCCTGTGCCTCTTCCACTTGGTGACACGCTGTTGTAAGATCCTGGATGGAGATGCTGACAGGGAAGGACAGTTGGGAGAAGAGTGTGAGGACAGCAGGGGGGAGCCCAGAGGAGGGAGGCTGTCAGCAGATGACAAGGTCTGCACACCGGATAAAGAAGGTGGCATTGTGAAGTCCACTGGGCTTCTAAGGGTGGAGCTCATCCTGATGGAGGAATGTGGGTAGAAGAAATGGACACAGATGACCAGGCCTGCTCATCATTTGTAGGGTGCCACGGCACCTCCCATAAACAAACTTTTTCCTTATCACCCATAGCACGCGTCTCCATCATGTGTGTCAGGTCATATCATAACCTGACACACACTTGTCTGGCCAGGGTGCTCATTTAATTGCAGGTGCCATGCCACCTGCTTTTGCCTCCACACCCTCCACATGTGTGCCACTGATATGACTAATCCAGCTGACCTTCCCCTGATGCTCCACTGCCAGACCAATCAGTCAATGTGTTGGGGCCCCCATGTTGTCTTATCTACTGGCCCTACCCATCATGTTTGGATATCATTGTACCTGTGGATTGTCATTTTCTGAGAGAGGAAAGCTTTTGGTCCATCAATGCAAGTGTTCTGCCTATGATCTTCAGGTTGCTGAAGATCAGGAGGAGGCCAATGGATATGCTCTCAAATTGGCTGCCCACCAGGCTAGAAAAACAGCCAGACTCCATTGCAGCATGATGCCAGAGTCCTCTTCTCTGCAGGATGGTCCCTCCCATCCAAACATGGTATGTTGTATGTTGGACAACTTGTGTCAGGTGCTGCCACCTGACACAACACCATATGGATAGGTTATTGAAGGAATAAGCAGTCCACCTACCCCTTGGCTTCCTTTGGATGACAAATTGGCTACAACTCCTCTTCCCGAAGCCACCCATTGGCACTATGTCCCAATTGCCGGCCTTCCTGTTCTGCTGCTCAACCAGCCCGTGGCCATGGACCTGACACAGTCCAGGCAGATCAATTGTAGCTGACTACCTGCACAATTTTGGGATGAGCTCCCAGAGAGCTCAGCAAGACTCCCTGGATTGTCTCTGGCCATGCCCCCTTCCCCCCCCCTCCCCCACCTTCTCAGGTCAATCTCAGCTTGGCACAACCACCTGACACATCCCTGTGTCAGGTGGACAAGTCAACCAACTCCATGCTTTCATTACAGCCATGGTGTACACAGCCCAACAGCTTCAGTATTTATTGACAGTATGTTGTAAAACCACTTTCAATCCCTGATCTGCAACAGGATCTTGAAGGCTTACTTGCTGGGGACATTGAATCCGCATTATCAGAGGGGACCACATTGGACAAGGATTGTACTGTATCGCTGGCTGAGCAGGCAACTTCCCTGCCTGAATCTACATCTCCAAGACCCTCCAACAGTTGATCTGTGCCATCATCTTCCAACACACTTCTTCACCAGCTCCTGCATGAAGCTGATGGCCCACCTGACACATGGCACCCTTGGCCCAACTGTGAGGCCTTTTTGGTCACTCATCACTGGTTCAATGGTCAATTGAAGTCATTGGCTGACCTTGAGCAATTATCTTCACTGTTCCAAGTGCCTGGTTTCAATGGCACCAAGCTTGCACATGTCAGATGGCATGCCTGCTTCAACAAACTTGATGCACTGCCCACCTCCTATGGTCCTTTCCATTATGGCCTGGATTGGAAAAGCAAGCCACTCCGCCTTTTGGTGCCCCTGGGAGGGGCGTTGGGGAATTGGGATTATGTCCTAAGTGGGTTCCAATATCATGACCTGACACAACTCACCAAAGATGTGATTATGAATGACTGTCAATCTGGTGGCTTTCATTGGGAGCCTTTTGAGCTGTGGCAACAATCAAAGGCCTCTCCTTCCAAACCCTGGCACATGTTTGGTGAGGGGTTTACCAGAGACTACATGTTGAATGAATATCAGCAGCTCCTTTGCAGCCCTGTCAAGCCCAATTGTGCTTTACCTCAGGCCATACTGGGGTTTTGCTTCTGGTCAGATGCAACTCAAGCTACTCAGTTTGGCCATTCTTACTTGTGGCCTGGCTATGCCATGTTTGTCAATCAGTCAGTGCATGAATGTTGTAGTCCTATGTCAGGTGCCTGCCATCACTTTGCCCATTTTCCCACCATGAGCTCTCTGTGTCTGGGTGCTGGTACCTACAGCTGACATACATGCTCAGCTTCCTCATCAGTTCAGTGAAGAATTCTATGCAAGAAGTGGCCATGCCCCCAATGCTTGTTTGCTTTCCCACATGAAGAGCATGATCATGCATGCAGCTTGGAGAACCCTTCTGAATCATGAATTTGTCAAAGCATACCAGCATGGAATACCCATGCTGTGTGCTGATGGGCATTGGTGCCATGTATACTTTCAGATATTTGTGTACTGTGCTGACTACCCAGAAAAGTGTGTGTCAGGTGCCACAGACCATGCTCAGCCTCACTCAAAATCCACAGGATGCTAATAGCCACCATCCATACTCTGGGAGAGATGCCTTGTATGTGATGTACAATGGGAAAAAAATGAAGTGTACAAAATGGGCTCAGAGTCGGACCACCTTTTCCAGACTACCAATCAGTGAGTGGACACTACAGCTCACCAATTTGATGTACTGTTGGCATACAATGCTATATACAAGGATGGACATGGTGTTGCTTCCACCAGGGTTGAGAACATCCTCAAATCTCAGTCCTATATCCCAGTTCCAGTACATGTGATGCCACCTGACACATGCCACCCTCTCATCATGTATAATCACAGAATGCCTTCAGCATCCTCCAACCACATGGATTCAATGTGTACGATATGCTTCCCATTGATCTTATGCATGAGATTGAGCTTGGTGTCTGGAAATCATTGTTGGAGCACCTCATTTGGCTCCTGCACACCCTTGGGTTGGGCCCCATTCTCTTACTTGACTACTGCTTCCACCACATGCTGAGCTTTGGAAGGGGCATGATCTGTCCATTTGACTCTCACAGGGTTTCCAAGTTATCCCAGCTAGCTGCCAAAGATTATGAGGACCTCTTGCAGGTATGCCAGATCTCACCTGACACAAGATTGCACCTGACACTCCTCTATAGTGTGCCATTCCAGCCTTTGAGGGGCTCTTTCCTGAACTGGACAATCCACTAATTATTTCTGTCCTGTACACTCTGGCCCTCTTTCACTGCCTTGGAAAGATGCAGGTCCATGGTACAGATACTCTGGAGTTACTAGATGAGGTGACCACCTGGTTGGGTGATGTAATGCAGAGATTTCAAGGGGAAACTTGTGTCAAGTATAGCATGCCCACTCCCAATGACACAAGTTGTGACACCAATGTCACCATTCAGGAAACCACTTTGAAGAGCATGCGGAAACACAAGTTTCAACAATCTTGCAACAAAGAGTCCCTTCAGGCTGGTGTGTCAGGTGCCCTGAGGGCTCTTGGTCAAGCAGCCAGTGTCCCCACCACTTTCAGTCTGCGGACTCCAAAATGGCACTTTATGGGTGATTATACTGCCTGTATCAGAAGGCTGGGTACAACAGACAATTTCTCCACAGAACCAGTAAGGCCCTTTCCTTGTGTCAAGTGACCTGTGATGCTAAATTGTATCAGGGCAAACTATCTCATTGGCAGGTCAAATAGTACTACAGAAGGGCCAGCAAGATTGACTATGTGGAGAAGGTCTCCAAAATGAAACGCCACATTGGGAAGATGGAGCACACGGCCCAGTACATGAGTGCAGAACAGCTGCCAATGGAGGCTCCTTCCAACAAGAATCTAGTTGGGATGGGAGACCCTGCAACAAGCTATCATATGGGATCTACAAGCTGTGCCTGGTCTCTTATCAGTGCATGGGAGCTGGAAGATCCCAATGATCAGTTGTGTCAGGTGAGGTGCACCTGACACTTTGCATGACATTGCCATTGCTCATCTTTACACAGCAGTTCTCCCAGCATCTCAAGAACTATCTTCTGTTGCAAATCTCTGGGAAGGCTCATGACAGTCCCATAGAAGACTTTTTGACAGAGGAAAGGGCAGAATTGTTGATCTTGCAAAACTGAAACACTGGCATATGGTGTGCCACATCAACTACACCACATACAATGTGCAGTGTGCTCAAGATACCATCCATGTTGGCAAGGGGCAGTGTGATATCATGCTTCCCTCTGGGGATGATTCCATGGACTCCCATCCTTACTGGTATGCCCAAGTGATATGCATCTTTCATGTCAACTTGACACACCAACCCACCAACATTTGTACACCTCAACAGCATGATGTTCTCTTGGTCAGGTGGCTAGCACAAGAGGACACCAACTCAACTGGCTCTCAGCTTTTCCAGCCACTGGATCGAGTGAGCTGGGTGTCTGGAGACAATGAGGATGGAAATGGCTTTGTGGACCCATCCTCAGTCATCTGCTCATGCCACTTGGTACCATGTTTCAACAGTGGCCCTGATGATGTTTCTGCATTGGAGGTGACTCTTCTGAAGAGGAAACCAGCTGATGTGCATATGGACTGGAAGGCCTATTATGTGATGAGGTGAGCATGCATCACTTCCACCTGACACTGGGCTGAGAACCAGAAGCAGGTTTGTTGACCATGATATGGCCATGTGTTATCTGGGGGGGGGGGGCTGGGACATCTGTACCCTGATCTGTCTTCTCTAACCTTGAAGAACATGCAGAATTGGAGGAAGCACTCCATGTTTCCTCAGGACGTTTCACCTGACACAGTGAATGGCAAAGCATCAGGTGACCTGATGCTGCAGGACAATGAGTTTGAATCAGAAGATGATTCCCCCCTGGCAGACTATGGCCCTGGTGGGTACAATTACTGAAGGTCCATGAAGCAACATCAGGCATTTGTGGGTTTGCTGAGTGATCCTAGTCTTGTCTTGTGGACCAAGGTAGGGCACCTGACAAGAAGAAGGTGCTCAAGGTGCACATTGATAAGGACATGAAGGGTGGTGAAACAATGAATTTTGCTGGTGAAAGTGATCAGGCACCAGAGATGATACCTGGAGATGTTGTCATCATGCATAAATTGGAAGAGACCCAGGCCCGCCCAATCCACCCCAATATCAGTGTTCAGGTGTGTAACTTAGAGCCACCCCTTCAGTTTCCATGTCACTCATAGCACTGATCCAACCCAAGAGGTGTCCAAAATATTGGTCTGATGGGTGGTGTGCAAGAACTTGCTGGGGAAAGAGGGGAGAGATGGGGGAAATCAGTAGAAATGCTGGAGTCAGCCTGAAGCTGAGCTGTCAGAAATTGGTCAGTAAATCAGAGCTTGGCATCCATCTAGTCAAGTGTCACAATGAGTAGAGTCGAGTACACTGAGTCAAGTCAAATCTGCCTATCCAGTAAGGGGATAATTGGATCTGTATAATTGCTAATGGAAAAGGGGAAGAATAAGCTAGATACAGGAGTTTCTGGAAACTGCTTATACCAGCTACTCTAAACTATACTCTATACTAATCTGGTCTCCTGATACCTCTCCAAGGCAGATGGTGGCATGCTGAATATCCAGGTGGGTTGATCCCATTGCAGAGGAAACCTGCTGTTGTCATGCTGAATATTTGAGTGGTCTTGTTGCCTGGGGAATTGCAGTAGTCACCATCCCAAATATCCATGGGGCCATCAAGACTTGTTGCTGGGGCACATTGTCTGTGTAGTGAGGGTGTGTAGTGCTGCACAATGGTCTCTAAGGCCTGAAAATAGCCATGGGAATATTAGCCTGACACACCCCACTGGAGGTGGGGTTGTTCAGCACAATAATTAGAGAAGCCAGGGAGTGTCACCTGGACCAGTGCTAGGAATGCAAAGATGGGCTGCATGTGCTGTGTCAGGTGCTGTGTCAGGTGCACTAAACATTGTATGAACCAACTAAGGGTGTCAGGTGAATTAATGTAACATAGTGGATTCATGGTGAGTTGCTCATTTGATTAATGCCTGAATGTGATAACCTGACAATGAGCTAGTCTGACAACCAGCAGTGTGTCAGGTAAGGGTCCCAAGAAGCACAACTGGGGCTGTGTGTGAGGTAAGGGTCCTAAGAAGCACCAGTAGGCCTCTTGGGACCCTGAATCATGGTTCTCCCAATAATGAGAAGGCCAGATGCATTCGGAAGCCAACTGGACCCTGATGGAAGCATTTGCACCCTCTTTTTATGTGGTCTGATCAACTCTAACCATGCCTGAGGCCAGCTTAGGCCACCTGATGCCACCTGCTGCCACCACCCCCTCTACTCTGCTTGCACTTTGCTCAACTTCAAACCTATCCTGTTCAAAGCAAGCAACAATGCACAACCCAGCCCCATATCAGCATCTGCAAAAATGTAAGTACTTTCTCTTGTGTCAAGTGGAACCTACCTGACACATGCATACAGATGAGGTCACAGAGGCGACCTTGCAGTATGGAATGGCTTGAACTCACGAGTCATACCACATCTTTTGCTGCAACAAGGGGTGGCAGCCAGCACCACCTGATGATGCCATTGGGGCTCTGGGGGACATTGTTAGGGCAACACAGGCTGACTAAGTCTGCTCACCTAAGAGTGCCAAGAGTCTAAGCAGGCAACAAGGAAGTGGAGTAGACCTGATGACTAAGACCTATCTACAGTATAGGTATCTGTGGATGATCCTAAGAGACCAAGTCTGAAGAGACAGTCCCAGGCAGAGTAGGCCTTATATTTATACCTCTGTGGTGGAACCTGCTAGAACATCTTGCTTACTCAGCCTAGTCAGGTGATCAGGTCATATGACCAAGGATGAGGTCATATGAGGTCATGCACAGCCATGCACAGCAGGTCACCTGACCATCCAATCCTTCCAGCAGGTTCCAGCACATGCCAAGGTATACCAGCTACTTCCATGTCATAAAGGCTTAGTCATGTCTCTTGACCAAGCAATGAGCTGGTGC